TGAGTTATTATAAATCATGTGACGTCATGACATTAATCATATGGTGATATCGGTGAAGAATAAGAAGCGACAATCTACTTCAAACATGATTTTGCTATCGTACATTTTTGTTACATCACTGAGTTAGTAAAGATTGCTAACCGCGCCACTTCACATTTAATATTTTCGTCGATATCAGGAAAGCCAACAGTCTTTATTTGGGATTAGAATTTTAAATATTTTTCAAGACCAAATCAGTTTATTATCGCCAGGATTTAGCGAGAGATCTCTCGATACACCTTTTACGTCCACCCGTCGTCGTTCTCCAAAGGAATGAAAATGGATGAAAATTCTCGAAATTTTATAATAGGTTTGCCCTAGGGCTTTTGTAAATAATCAAGGGAATTAAGTGTAAACGCAAACAGTGGCGCACACTTGTGTCTGATATTCGATATTAGTCTAGCCAGTCACCTTTGACCTCATTTATGTTTACCTAGGGACCCCCCATCAACTTGAAAAGAATCGCGGGTGAAAGACTAGTAAGTCCTGATAAGAAATAAACAACCCACCAAGCAGATTGCATGACATTGAACTAGTACTGCAGAGACTACGCGATCTTTTTGTTTTCTTCAAAAACTACCCGACATAGAATAATGTTTTATGCTGTGTAACACAAGTCGTCCAGTTCTTTTACACTTTCCAAACTCAGGAGTGTGGATAAAATGGAGGATAGGTGGGGGAATTCCATGTAAAAAAAAAAGCACATGGAATTTGCGATGACGAAATATTTTGTCTGCATTAAATGATTTTTGTAATTGAATGAATGTCTTGGGAACTGTTCATTTTTCATTAATATGCATAGGATACAAATTAGTGCTCAGAAACATTGGAATAACATCTGTAGATAATGGATTTGTTCTTGATGAGAGTTAGGATGTATATTAAAGCGTTATCAGAAGCTTTTAAGTAATTATTTAATTCCGTTTTGCAAATATTTCGGAAAGTCCACCTTGATTAATGGACATAATTGAATGTATCATCTTTAATTTATTATTTGCAAGGTAACTATCAAACGATTCTAGAAAAAGAGACACACTAACGATGATTTCGGAAAAGCATTGGAAGTGTTGGTCTCTGCTAAAGTGAAAAATATACTGCAGATTTAAACCGTTTAGTGGTGATATTATTTCATGAGCACCAAATAAAATAAAAAATGAATCTTTCACCAATCAGAGTACACTTAAATATGTAAAAATGCTTTTTGAATCGAAGAAATGCGCCCTAAAATAATCTTGTTTATGGTGAATGAAGAGAATGTCTCTGCGGACAAATTCGAACTACTATTCTTTGAAGTACTGTACCAGAATGTTGTGTGTGTGTGTGTGTGTGTGTGTGTGTGTGTGTGTGTGCAAAAAAACAGGAAATATATTTTATGTCGTCAATGTTAACTGATCCGTGAAGATTATTTGGGCACGATTGATACGAGAATTAAGAAATGATCTTGGACGTACAGACGCTTCAAATAATAGTATTTATATTACTTATAAAAAGAACGTTTAGCAAATTTGTTCAAATCTCCGACTAAAGAAAACAACATGTAAATTTATCCTTGGATTTCGAAAACGAATATTAAAACTTGGTTATCATGCAAATATTTTAAACTGCTACATCAGAATGCAGAATATTATCAAATAATTTGCAGTTTGAACTGTTAGTTGGAACAAACCTATTCCTACACCTGTTGTTTATAGATACATATTGCATCCTTTTTTTGAATCTGCAAAATTATGGTTTCAAAACTTTTATAATATGATGACTACTTGTTCAAATTTATCAAAATGTATACGACACCCACATGTTAATAAATGAGAAAATACATTTTCCTTGGAATAACCCAGCGTCCAACATTTTGGGATTCACTTTAACAGAAGTTGAGTATTACTTTTATCTTTGAATTTGAAAGTCATTTCATTTTCTACTTTCAGTTACATAGATGGTATTTTTGTGTAGGCCAAGGTTGTACAGATTCGCTGAATTATTAAATTATCAGTACACGCATGCTGTCAGGGCCCTGGAAATTTATTTTATATAGAAAAGTACATATTGTACGATTTAATGAATCCTAAGCTGCATAACTGTAAACCTGTTGTGATTTTTTAAAATTTAATTTTAAATAATAATAAATACTGTTTAATGTCAATTTATCTGTAAACTATGATTATCAGTAACTTCTGATATGAAAACTTTTATGTACCCTCCCACATAAATAAGTATATAATGTAAAATAGAATAAAACTATCCTCAGTGCAAAATAAGAAAATCCGAGAAATCGCCCTGCAGCCCCAATGGAAATGGTCGTTCCCCAATAAAGATGTAGATCTGTAATGACGTAGGTGCATTTTACCAAACATATTATTATAATGGGTATTATGTACGTGACACGACCAGAAATGCATTAAATTCACCTGTAGAAATGATACATTATATGTCAATGTTTAGAGACTTAACCAATCTCGTTAGAAAAGTATCGTCTGCACGCATCAGTTTTTTTTATAAATCGACAAGGTAGTTCATGCTTTCAAGAGGCCTGGTTAAGTTCAGTCAGATCAAATATTTTCTTCATATATTTTGCCTATTAAGAAGCAAACCAATAATTTTAAAAGAAAAAGAATCTATATTTTTTCATAGCTAGATGATCCATTTGGCATAAAATTCTACGCTCTGAGTAATTGGCGCCTTTTTCGGATTCTAGATGCTGGTAAACATATTTTTATGTATGACAGTGCTACTAGTTTTCGACCTATTTTAGCACAATGCGGAGTGACGTGATCTCGTTCACGCACGTAAAAGTGAGCAGGTTAGTTAATATGTTTTACTCTTTCTAAGATTTACGAAACTAATACTTTTTGTAGATGCATTTTTACAAGGTCGACATGCTTGTAGCAAAAAAAAAAACGTCTGTGTCCTATATTTTATGCATTACTTACTAACATGGATTAAGTATGTTCATTCGGTGTTAAATATTCCATATATATGACATACTTTATAGCTGTAATAGATTAAGATGAACACATTAATAATGTATCGTGCATGTAAATGAATATATCAATTAGATGTCGTGGAATGCATGCTGTATGCTTGGCGAATTAATCAGTTGATGCTAACCAAGAAAATTATTGATGCATAATTTATGATAGTGCGTGTTGACTGTCACATGGTTAATCAACGCCTGTAACCTTTTTACTCTCTAAAATCTACGCCCTAGGACGCTGGACTGAAAACTTCAGTAGTAGATATTTAGGTTCATTGGTGTAAAAATACATTATACAAAAACAAACTTAATGTCTCGTTTTCATTAACTCATTATATTACCTCAACTTTGACATCACAGGAGAGAAAAACTTATTTCATTGCTTTACTATTTTACTTCATGTCAAGTTACATTAATATACAGGTAGGTGGTTTAACGGTACCTCAGCATAATGCTTGTTTTTACAGTGCCAGTAAAAAGTTAACATATATAGTGTTAAATTGTAAAGGTGAAATGAAAAAATGAAGAAAAAAATGCTTAAATTTAAAATTTAAATAAGGGGCCAACTCATTTTGTTTTTACGACCACTTTAGCTCTGTAATTGGTGACTTCGCTCTGGTTATATTTTTTTCTTTGCTTTGGTTATCTAGTGTTGCCATGGTAATTAATATACGCATTACGATCCGTATGTTTTGTTGTTGTGATAAAATAAGGATTCGGTAAAGAAATCTTCACATACAGTGCCGTGGTTTGACACACGTCTTGCTTTACGACGCTAAGCAAAGGTTTAACTGACAGTTCTTAGTTTTGAGGACGCTTCATATTATGTCGCCTGGAGTTATTTACTCAAAGCAACATCGTGTGTTCATTAAGAATGATCTATTCCTTTTAGTCTTTCTTTCTAGTTGTTGTCGACGTACTCGTAATAGGTAGGTTGGGCAATCTAAGTTATATGGGGGGCCCAGAGTGGCCGAGTGGTCTAAAGCGCTGTCCGTTACGGATCATAAAGCGCTGTCCGTTACGGATCACTGCCATCTCACCTCGGTCTGCGCGTGTTCGAGTCTAGGATTCGGCGAATTTGGATATGTGAGAAAGCTTGCCAGTAGCTTCTCGTGGGTCGGTGATTCTTTCCGGTGATTTCCCGGTTTCTTCCTCCACCATTATTACTGGCCGCCATGAATAGCCTATTGTGAAAAATGGCGTTAAGACCAACAACAACAACAACAACTAAATTATATGTGAAGTCAATGGCATCACGAGGACAACTAAATCCAGACCATATATATATATATATATATATATATATATATATATATATATATATATATATATATATATATATATATATATATATATATATATGCACTCATCGGATTGGCTAATTTCGTGATTTCCGAAACTAACAATCTATCAATAAATTGCAACATTAGGTTCAAGGTTACATAACTGCCATCTCCATAAATGGAAAATCTTGCCGGGCATTTATCGGGCACTTTTGCATGTACCCTTAGCTAACTATTTTGATTACGGCCTTATCTGCAAAAGCGAGTTACTCCGATTGTGCAAGCTGATATTTCGGCACTTTAAATGTCGGTAGTAGGATTGATATGTGTTGTAAGTCCGAAACATTATCATGACATCGAGGGATCTAAATTTCCGTTAGTCTGCACGGGAAAAACTGGGCATATCCAATATGCCGGTTATGTCTCATTTTTCATTCCATAATGCATGATTCGCGGGGAAATAGACGATTCAGGTTTCTTGAGATATTATGTGCATCCTGTTAAACCCAGTTTCCTTCATTTATTTCTTTTAAATTCCTTTTGTGATATCATTTGATACTGTTACATTGCACATCTGTATGTATGTATGCAGAAACCATGGGCGTCCGCACAAAGGTGCAATTTCAGTTTCACATCTAAATATGTTTTTGCATACATACATACCACTTAGTAATTGACCATACATGTTTGCCTCCCCCCGCCAGATCGCTCCAGTGGTCTAGTGGTTTGAACGTCCACCTCGGATCCGGGAGGTCGCGGGTTCGAGCCCTGGCTGAATCATACCAAAGACTTTTTTAAATGGTACTAACAGCTGCTTCACTAGGCGCTCAGCATTAGGAGGTTATTGTTAGGACGGGTCGGCCTGGTAAATAATGTGACTGGGTGGGACATGATGCTACATGTTTGAGGCATGATGCTCCAGTGCTAGACATTACTATAAACTGTCACACTGCATACATCGTAGCGATATGACAGACAAAATATAAAAGTTACGTTAAAAATCCAAATGACACCCCCTCCCCACCAATAAAATTATTATCGGGCTCCCTGGCTAGAGGTATATAACAGAGATTGGTAATTCTATGGCTGGGTCTTTTGTTATCAGACTGTTTTTCTAACATCACGTGGCACTGCGTGAGTAAGCGAGATCATTACAATGCGAGTCCACCGCAAGAAAACATACCGTTTTTTTTTTTTTTCGTTTAGACGTTCATTTTGGTCTTTTCCTGTTATATTTTTTGAATATATGATCAGTTCTTATCACGGAATAAACAATGCATTTATCATTTGTGTCTTTTGTTTGATATTTTGTATGAAAATGCTTGCATTATATGAGATAAGACGGCAAAGAGGCCTGTGTGGTATCGGTATTCAAATTGGCCAGTAATATATATATGTTGCCTTTTGTTATGCGTTTCGTCATTTTGCATTAAATTACATCATATTTGGTATCATAAAAGGTAAATACATTTTCTGCTGAATGCACCGGTTTAAAGAAAGTAGTCTTTTTTTGTAAGGGTCGTTTTCAAGGTTCAAATACGAGCAGAAAAATTTGTCAATTTGTCTTGCAATTAACTTGAACTGCTATACCGTCGCAACTTTAAAATACACACAAGTTGCTGTATTGTATCTATTTTTTTCATGTTACATTCAGTTAAATCATATTTTGTATGATTTTAAAGCTAAATAAATTTTCTAGAGCGCGCAGGCTTCGAGAAAACAAATTGCAATTTGAAGGGTCATACAACCATAAAATTCTGTTCTTGAAATAACTCGTACCGCATTTCTGTTGCACCTGTCAATTTCGTACAAGTTCTGTTTTCTGCATTTCTTTGTCTTCTCTGCAGTTAAGTCCTCTTTATTATCACTGAAAAGCTAAATAAATTTTTTGCAGAGCGCAAATGCTTTACTTAATACCTAACTTTATCCTATGAAAGAAAAACTAGCACCTATCTATTCGAACGTTATACGTAAAAATAAACAAGTCATCAAGCTCTGTAAAAAAAATCCTCGCTCTGTTAGTCTTTCAATAAGCATGTCTGTTTGGCGCTCAGCATTCAGAGGTTGGTGTTAGGATTGGGAAGCCTGGTGTCAGGATAATGTGACTGGGTGGGACATCATGCTACATGTCTACGGCATGATGCCCCAGTGCAAGACATTGCTATAAACTGTCACACTGCAGACATCGTAGCGATATGACTGAATTTTTTTAAAGCTATGTTAAAAATTGAAATCACACACACACACACACTTTCGATTTACAGGTCACATTTGTCAACTGTGGCACCGCGACATACAAGATACCGCGCAGTCGCAATCGCATATTTTGTCATGCAAATGAAAACATGCAACTCCTATCTAAAAAAATCTGTGTTCTTTTCTTTTTAATTCCATGGATCGGCCTTTTTTAAGCAAAGTTCAGGTTCTCGATCTTTTTCTGCATCCCATCCGCAGTCCATCTATATAGAGCTCTCAGACAACTGGTGGTATTATTGAAAACAGTAAGTGGTTTAGCCTGTCTGTTTTTTCCTCAACTAAACTCAGATCTTTAATACATAACATTGCATTTATTTACAATGCTTGGACTCCAGGGGAGCAGGTCTTATCGTGAAGAAATTATACATGGCCTTGTACAATCCGACCATATATACTTATAAGTCGAGTCGAAATGCAAATTGTTCAGACCCAGATCTGCCTACGCATTATGCGACGGCAGATCTGGGTTTGTACTGTTTTGATAGGAGTATTCAGCAGAATAAACAATAAAGACTGGTCTATAGGCGCATAGGCTACAGCAGAGCAGAATCTTTTGGTTTTTTTTGTTTTTTTTTTTTTGCAGTTTGACTGGGCCTTTAAGGGAATATATACGGTACATCATTGGCTCCTACAATTTACTTTCTGCTTAGACAAGTTTGCCTAATCGAACTTCATATATTACACTTGTACAGCTTCTGTGTTGCTATGTAAGTGTGTTGATTTATTCCTTGAAAAGCCTCATCTTTAATTAATGTTGCATACCTTTATTTCCAGTTAAACACTTTTCAGTGAAAATGCTATTTAAAAAAAACCTGCTATTAAATTTCTGTTGAGATGTTTGCTAGGATTTCATTTGTGATAGCTACTGTTTGATGAAGGGTTCGCCAGTCTTTTTTAGACCAAAAAAATACGAGCGCGAACTCGGCCTTCTAAATGAGAATTATACCTCGAGTCATTTAATACCAGTGAAGCAGAGTTCAAATAAAGTTAGCTTAAGGTGATATTTAAATTAAGCCATTTTAATCCTTACACCCGTTATCATTGTTAAGTTATTGCAACGAAACGAGTAATCGTTAAGTACGAACTTAAATTGGTTAGTAAGCCTATTTTGCAGCTCGCTACTAATACCTGTACTCATGGCTCAATTTTCAAAGTATTGTTAGTTTAGGTTGCACGTTAAAACATTGTGACCTATCAATGATTCTTTTAAAGTACAGTATTACTTTAGAAGTAAGGTATGATCGTGCGCATCAGAGATGCACAACAACCACGACCGAGTTCATTGGACTCATCCCACTTTAAAGGGAAAATCTGGGATACTTAGAAGATACTAGAGTGTCATCGGCATTAGATTGTTATTTGTTTGTTTTTGGAGGTGGGAATTGGGTCGTTTACATACGAATATTTTACAACTATTTTATTTTCCTGAAGTAAGAGTACTTTTTTGTTGGATTGTCGTTCTTGACTTTATACAGCTAGGTTTGGAACGGTGTACCAGGCTTTAATTATGTTTGAAGAATAGTGTAAGCGATTGAGTCGAATAAAAAATGCAAAATGACCCCACCCCAAATTGAACAAAATACAAATAAAGAAGCTTGCACGATGATAATCTATATTTTATAGAAGATCTCATGTCCCCTTTCCACTTCCTGTGTATGCTTACTTGTGTTAGGGGAGGGGAGGCAGCGAAACGTTTCTAAAGCGAAAACTAACAATACTTTGCTCCAAATCAATTGGTCCTGTTTTTTTATGGGCATTCTTTTTCGGGCAGACTGATTTTACAGTATTTGCGCAAATATGTCACACATTTTATAGAGTCAAATTAAAAAATAAATATGTGTAAATATTAACTTTCATAGCTTTTTCCCTTGAATTCGTTTTGCTTTCTTCTGTCTGGTTCTTACGCAGGAGTGTTGTCAGATTAAGATCGTGTTCAATATAAAAAGGCCATATATTGCGTTTAAAGATTTCAAGCTCGGTCGTACACGTTTCCCCGTCAAACTTAAGCATAAATAGTGTAATAGGGTGACAACGCCTGAATGTTAGGTCTGAGACGTAGATAGCAGGTATAACTCTAGATACGCTCTCACGTTAAGTTTTGTGGTAATAAAACACTAGTTACTGCTGTCACTGATGAGATCAACTTGTTAAATGCACAGTACTATATTCATCAAGAAGTAAAGCGGTTTCGTCCGCATTTTTTGAATCAATGCATAAAAGAATTCATTAGTTACGTAACGGGATCCTAGGGGTCATTTCCAAAATAGGCTAGACAGACTTGATCGCTTATGAGTTTCGTAGACATGGTTGCATATATGCTCATTCGTGGATTTACATTTATCACTTGAATTAACACCCGTAAAAAAAAATGGTAGTTTTAATGACCTACTTTTATGGCTAAACTGTCTGTGCTAGGAGAGACATTATTCAGTAGATATTCATGTTGGTTCGTTCTTAGTACAAGTTTGTATTCAATCAAAGCCAGAAAGATGGGAAAACTGTATCACTTCGATTGATTTAATGTTTAATGCAATGCTTCATGCTTCATGCAATATTTCAATCGACCACGTATAAATGGTTAGAGCGTCCGCCTTGGATGCGTGAGATCGCGGGTTCGAACCCTGACCAACTTGTGCCAAAGGGTTATAAAAATGGTACTAACAGCTGCCTCGCTTGGCGCTCAAAATTAAGAGGTTAGTGTTAGGACTGGAAAATAAATATGTAGATTTCTTCTACATAATGTTTCACGCAAGCGGTGTCTCTTCCAAGTAACAGTATCTTTGCAAATATGTCACACACTTTAATGAGTTGTGCTCATTATTTCCAAGGACCTCAAGGCAACAGTCACTCTAGCCTGAAAGGTTCTTAAACGCGAATACTGTACATTATGACGTCTGCTTTCAAGAAATTGGCTAATTTTCCGAACAGCGACTTCCTATAATCAACAAATAATCGCAAAATCTAACAACGCTATACAAGGAGACATAAATACAAAATGCATAAAAATTAGGTTATTACAATAATATTTTTAATTATTATTAAAGGATAACGTACAAACATTTTAGTAAATACAAAAATATGGAATCAGTTTGAGGATTGTTGCCTCGAATAAAAATGGGTGTATCTCAACTTTATCAGCGTTGATCTTTGCCGTTTCAGCGTCAAATGAAGAGAAAAAACGGTTAAGTCAGTTGGTTCAAAGTACCGGGATAAAAACCTACAGAACCCGGTCTTGTTGTAATTAAATCTCGGCCTACATTTTGATGGTCTGAATAACCGCACGTTTGAAAATTAGCGCAATATATTGAATTGATTACTATAATGATGAATTTGGACAATAGATTAGAATTTAACGAGAATTATTAGTGTTAAATTGGTACAATAGATTGGATTAAATTGGCACAATAGATTAGAATTTAACGAGGATAATTACAATGATAAATTGGTACGAGGATAATTACAGTGATGAATTGGCCAATAGCTTATTATTTAACGAGGATTATTGCAGTAATACATTTTGGCATTTTAACGAGGATTACTACAGTGAAAAATTGTCACAATAGCTTTGAATTTAACGAGTAATACTTCAATGGTGACAAGTTTAAAGGCCCGACGTCCGTTTGTCTCTGAATGTCTGACTGACTGCAAGAAAAGAAGAAAACTAAATTCAGATGATTCCCGCAGCATCAACACAGGGAAGGAAGAAATATAGAAAAGAATAGCAAATAAGGTAAAGGACAGGTGAGTTGGTTTAACACCTGCATGTACATACTTATGTATGCATGTAGGTAGGTAGGTGCGTACGTGCATGTGGGTGTTTGTCATTTGACTTTTGGCACCGCGAAACCTGTGTTACGTTTTTCAGTTGCAGTCATTACCCATCTGGAGCATGGAATGGTTGGATTGATTTTAACGGCAGTTTCAACGCATTAATGGCTATAGCATAACAAGAAAACTGATGCTGTATGTCCCTATTACAAGGACGCTCCAAAGCAGCTAACACGGTCTATCTAGGGCTGGTATTGAACCCGCAAAATGAGACCTATGATCTACTAAGCTTTCGTGACTCCTAGAGTCTCTTACAGAATTTTGAAAGTTAACGGATGGATCTATCAAATCAAACTTCGACTAAGAGTCTCCAGTTAAATAATACTTATCATTTACTAGTCTTTTTTTTGTTGTCAGGACACCTTGCAGTCTAGTGGATACAGTAACCTTGTTTTCACGAACGGATTTTCTTGATTACGAGAAGCTCAAAACTGATAATAAATTCATTATGTTGTGATGAAAACTTAAGGTCCTAATGACGCGGAGATGACGTGGGTTTCCCGCTGTCACAAAAGTTTTCTGTCAGTTATATCACCTTGGCGAGTTCAAGCTAGATGTGTGTGAAGTATGAGTTTTTTGCAGGAATCGCATTTTCAATTGATTTGACCAGTTTTGGATGGAGGCCCCATTTTCGCCATACATTTAACATTTTCATCCTCCAACAGAAACAACAATGATTTATTTCGCTTAACATGGCAGATATTCAGAAGTAGAATTCTATCACAGTATGTGGAATCCACAGTAAGATCCAGTCACAATATCTGGATTTCACAGTAAGATCCAATCACAATATCTGGATTTCACAGTAAGATCCAATCACAATATCCGGATTTCAGTTAAATAAACCATATATATCAGGCAGACAAATTAGAGGATTTCCTCAAGCTTAAGCAATTCCTGAACTCTTGAAAATTAAAGTTTCTCATGTGTACACATTTGAAGCAAGAGTTATCTCATCCTCTCAAATTTCTCTGCCTGTGACTAAAATTCAAATAGTGATATTAGTACAAAATATCAAAACACATTTATTGAATGCGGAGTCACGGTTCTAATGTGGCTTTTTCAGGAAAGAAGAACCTTCGAAGTAATATATGATTAGCAAACAGTGAGACTGCTTTATTTTGGTGTCCTGAAATTTCTAAAAATCAGGTCAGAAATGATTTAGTAACTTGTTTTTCCTCATTTTGAAATCATTTGGATTTTGAAAGATTTTCTGAACGATCAGCTGTTGGAAAAAGGAATCTTATAATTTGATATAGACTCCAGATGTTGTGCTGAAAAAGAAGATTGTGGATTAATTTTGATGCCATCTTCTACATGTTCTATTTTCCTGTTTCGTAGAAGTTGAAATCGACCGCTCCGGTGGTATAAGTGGTTATAGATCCGCCTTAAATGCTGGTGTTCGTGGGTTCGAACCCCAGCCGAGTCATACCAAAGACTTACAAAAATGGTGCTAGTAGCTGCCTCGCTTGGCGCTCAGCACTAGGTTGGTGTTAGGACTGGTCAGCCTGGTGTCAGGATAATGTAACTAAGTGGGATATGATCTTGCATGTCTGCGTCATGATGCCCCATGGCTATACCTCACTATAGACTGCTACACTGCAGACATCATTGAGAGACGACTGAAAAATTGTAAAAGCTACGCTCAAAATCTAAGTTACACAAAAGTGAAAACTGCATCATGCTCTTTCTACATGTACACTAGAAACCCGGTTATCCGACTTTTATCGGTTTAATTGCATCGCCGCTTGTATGCGCATGTTCTCCAAATGTGTCTATTTTCCACTCAATCGTGTTCAAACGTTAAGAGTTTGGATAACAAGATTCCACTGTAAATGCCATGAAAGGAGGTTAGGTTTGATCGGATATTTTCTTCTATACAGTTGCTGGCCTGATGCAAAGTCCGCAGAACCTGTTTTAGATTTGTGTGTGACTAATGTGAAAATGTTTAATGATTTAGTATTTACAGAATCAATGGCAAGATTTGAAAGATTATGAGATCGCTTTTAAGGGAAAATTGATTAATGGTCTGAAATAGACCTTCTCTCACTGGGCACTACACGATCTAACAATCATCCATTATTTATTCAGTGTTTGTTGTTTTATTGATCAGATTTATGAGTTGACAGTTTTAATTATACCTTTTTCTGCAAATGTATGAAGTATGAACTGGAAAAAAAGATATTCAAAATTGTATGATCCGCAAATTCGACTCTATGTGTTTTTAGGAAAGACATTTATCTCCCTTTTTCGTGCCATGGTACTTTAAAAGTCATAATTTAAGTTGAACTGATGTTTTTTCTTATGTGGATTTAAAACCATTTTTCAGCGCATGATAGGCGCTATACATGGCATCCAGTATATTTGATGGAGGAAGACTCAGGGAAGCTGTGAAGTAAAACCGACCCACATGAACCTACTGGCAAAATTCGGACAGGTACGTTGGCCGAGCCGAGAATGGAATCCAGACGAAGAGAGGTGGCGTGCCAGGATGCCTGAGATCTGTAAAGGCGATCACCTTAGACCAATCGCATCTCTTCCCCGGATCCACATCTCCACTCAAATATGAGAAAACGGCGTGTACAATGTTAAGAGAACAGGAGTGGTCCCCTTTTTACGCTCATTCCTTTATACAATACATTTTTAGTTTTCCCCATTAATGAATTTTTACGCCTCTGCACATCCGTCGTTCCATGTCATTGTTTTATATATATTCTAGTATTTCACAGTAATATATACTCTTTTTCAGTACTGTGTAATACTCCTCTCTCCTGTGTAAGACCTTTTTCAGCCCCGTGTAAGACTTTTTTCAGCCTTGTGCAAGACTCCTCACTCCCGTGTAAGATCCTTTTTAGTCCCGTGTTAGACCCTTTCAGTCTTGTGTAAGACTTTTTCAGCCCTGTGCAAGACTCCTCACTCCCGTGTAAGATCCTTTTTAGTCCCGTGTTAAACTCTTTCAGTCTTGTGTAAGACTTTTTTTTAGTCATGTATAAAACCCTTTTCAGCCCCGTGTAGAAGTTGTTCTTCATACTGGGAAGACATTAATAAACGAGGCCAAAATTGTAAAACCATTGCCTGACACCAGTGCGACGCTAGTAATGTTAGAACGTATAATAGACTATTCTGACTTTTATAAACAGTAAATATCAAAATAATTATCCATTTTGTCTAGTGAGTTCAACTTATATTGTCTCCTTCTTTTACTAAAAGTTTTCTTTGACTAGTCTCTTCTGCATATCGAGCCTTTTGTTTCCCTCATACCTTCTCTTGTTTGTTTTTAAAAGATCTTATCGGATTATTTATTTGTTTATTTATTGATTTATTCTTATGGAGATTTTTGTAATAAAAATTCTGGATATGTATTTAATGTAGAAATTGTGTAATTTACTTGTTTTCTGAGATATTATGCATATATTTACCTTGTGCGACAGTCAGTCTAATGGTAGGATGCTTCCAAAAAAAAACTTATGCACAAAATAGTATTGCAGTTTGCGTAAAATAGGATGATCGCCCTTTTTTGCGTGCGTTATAAGGGGCAGATTATCCTGTCATAAAACGTTATTTACATATCCCATTTTTATTTCATGCGTATTAAAGGAATATAATATTAGTATATCGAACAAAATACAAAATCAAAATCAATCGTATTCCCTGGATCATTAAACATTCAGCAGCTGATAAAGTTAGATTAAGGAAATAATTTATGGTGATTATGTAAGTATCTACCTTCGTAAGATAAATGTCATTGTCTTTACAAATCATATGGTTTTGTGCTTTTTTTTTATTTTTTATAAAAGTGGATAAACCTTTTGAGGTGCATTCGGACCACCTCTGACAATTCTGTGAGAAAGAGATATGCTAATAATATATGTCGGTTCAATAGTTTGCCACCCAAAAATAATCTTACAAGAAAAAAGAACTGTAATCTATTGAACCACCACTGCTTTTTATGATTGGATTGATCACAGGATTTATCAAGCAGATGCAGTTAAATACATTCGGAACTTGCTGGTATATCCTTGTTTCGTAAATAGCGTATGTTGTCCGAATGACAGCTGTTGGCATACATTTAGGATACGTTTCCGTAGAATAGACTTCGAAGATGCAAAAAGGATTGAATTGTTGCATTTTAACTTAGGACTGAGATCAAGAGCACACCTAACTATTACAACATATTTATTGTAATCATCCAGTTTGCTTTTTTTTATTTTATTTGTTATTTTAAACTGGTTTCCTAATTTAGAACAATTTGTTTCCCATAACCGATTTAAATGGGCTGTCCGGCTATTATAGTTCAGCACTCGTTGGTTTAGTTACGAGCGCTATTGGACAAAGCTTTGATTACTGAGATAATGCCATTACATTGATTAGTCGGTAATTGATAATTTGGTCCGTTGACCTTTCTGCTTTCCGGCCACGTGTAAATTAACATACATTGATTGAAAAATTAGATGAGTGGTTGACCAGTATAATAAGCTTTAATTAGGTAGTACAGATTGGACCTTTTAGTTGAAAGAGAGATTTAACTCAACATGAAGCAAGCTAAAGCTTCGCTCAGTTTAATTGGTTTGTTTCTTTACAGCACAGCAACACAGGTAGGTTGTATAATGCCAAGGCAGTGGGACAAAGTGTCTTGACCAAGAACACACCTCTAGGACCTAGGTTGGACCGCTGATTCAAACCTGCATCATTTCGATTTTAAGTCCGGCACGCTAACCACTGAGCAAACTGCAGCTTTGGCTAAGTTCAAAGCCTAAAATAAATTTTAAAAATAAAACATGCAATTAGTATGGGCCTCTCGTATCCACCTTAATCAAAGATGAAAAAGTGGAACTAGTGCCACCGTGATGCTTGAAGATTTCCCCAGAAAAAAGTTGGAAAGGATAGTGGAGGAGAAATGGGAAGTGCACCTATCACCCAGTCACACTCGAAAAGGTTGGAAGAGAAAGATAGGGGATTCGGGTGAGGGGAAAACCTATCAGCCAGTCACACTTGGTGCAAATCACTATGTTAGTGGTGCAAGTTAGAGAAAATAACAGAACAGAACAAAGATTTTTAAAATTTATTTTCTGTAAATTTCAAACAGCGTATGAGAAAATACGTAAGTGATAGAAGTAGGCCTGTTGACCAAGTTACCTGTTTAACTTGGACTTCGCACTGTGCTCGTGCCTCGCTTGGCGCTGAGCATTAAGAGGTCAGTGTTAGGACTAGTCGGCCTGGTGTCAGGATGATGTGACTGGGTGGGATATCATGCCACATGTCTGCGGCATGATGCCCCTGTGTTAGATATTACTATAAACTGACACTGCAGACATCGTAGCGATATGACTGAAAACTTGTTAAAGCTACGTTAAAAAATCTGAAACACACACACGCACACACACATTGTGTTTGTACTACAGCTAGCCAACTTGGCAAGTTGCCATATGCTTTCCACTGACAGTTCACAGTCTTGTGTCACTTTTACCTTGTGAGTAACACTGTTAGTCTCATTCAATTTTTTGGACACGAGTTTACCTGCTGAGTGTTTCCATTGGTAAATGATCCCATACATTGCCACTTAAGCACGGTACAATAAGCCATATAAATTCTCAACAAAAGTGACGACTTTTTGTTCTGTTGTTGAATTGTTTCACTGCATAAAAAGAATACAATCAAAGGCGTACAATAAACAATTGGGAAAATGTATTGTTTTACTTGAAAGTATTTAGGCTATTTACGAATCGTGATTTTAATATATGCATACAATATACAAGAATGGGTTGAATATTTGAAATACCGATAGGCAACCTAGGAAATTTGTTTGCGACCTCATTCATGTTTTTATTTCTTTTCTTTAAGAGCAAAGTAAACATCTGTAATGAGATCACCTCTCTGTTCAGGCCACCTTTCCTCAGTTCTGTAATATTGTTAACGGGGAATTTGTACTATATGTTCAGTGGGCAAAATGGCCACCTTACCGTGTTCACTATCATAGCAAGGCAAAATCAGCCTTTTTAAAACGGAGGCTCTTAAATCCCGATACCCCAGAAAATAGTACGTTCTGAATTACGGGCTTGCATTTGGAAACGGGGTTGGGATGTTTGAGCTTAATAAATTTCTATACATATTATTTTACTATAGAATATTTTTATGATTTTAATAATTTCAAAGTAGAACATATTTAATATACTAAATCGAGATCTCTTGAAATGAGGAGAAATTAATAAACATTTAATTTGAATCCGCTGACATTTGTGTTGAGTACATCCAGCGACCAATCGCAAGGTTCTTGGCTTTGTCTAAGAGACGAAAACATACTTAAGATGTATATCTGCGCAGCAATTTACAGAAAAAGCATGCATTTTGTTGCCAGATATTTATCAGTAAAAGAAGAAACCTTAATTTCTTCCGATCTCTCTGCTGTTTATATGGTGGATTGATTATATG